GGTAAAAACAATAAAAAAACAAATTTGGTCTAATTTACGCTCTCTCTGACAGTAGGCTAGGCTTGACGAGATCGAGGAAAATTTCGAATTGAAAATGCCAAGATCGCCGTGAGCAGGTCTGTCGATCAACCTGCCAGATATCTGCAATATCAAAGGACAAGAAAATGGTCTCAAAATCAGATTTAATGCACAGGCATGCAAATGCAAATTCGACTCTTGCTTTTTACGTACCTGCAAGAACCGCATTTTCTCCCACAAAAGGCGCCTACTACCGTGGCCATAGTTGATGGTTGCCCATATCCCCTTCCAAACCATTTACAAAGCAAGTTACATCAATTTCAGCTACCATCATCTCCATCTAGATTACGACACATTAAAATTGTCTAGGAGATTCGACTGACAGATCAATCAGAAGATATAATGCAAAAAATATTCTGCATGTAAAGTCGGAAAGGCACACCCCACTGTGCACAAGCAATGTAGCTGAAATATTTTGAATTGGCTGTTGCTTTATGAAGCAGGTTTGATCGACCTTGCGTTGAAAAGGGTGCATTTGGACTCCCATGTGATCCCGTTGGGTGAGATGAAAAGTGCACGCATCCCTAAATAAGGTCATTACAGTAGAGACTCGCACTCAAAGTACCACGCCTCACGTGCACTAGGACGCAGAGGACAGAGTTAAAGGTACTTCAACGTGCAGTTCCCTGGCATCTCTGGGATCGCTTTCCTCGGCCTTACAATTTGGAGGGTATATAGAGTTTATTAACTATTTAAACATCCAGTCTGGCAATCAGATGTATTTCCGGTTGATCCACAATGCAAAAAGGGTTGGCAATGATTGTATGCATCGTTCTATACCACCGTGACTCAAGCTGCTTGCCAAGCAAGCGTAGTTCGCAGGCCTGGAGTAGTAGGCACTCTTGAGCAGTGTTTGAACCGATATTTTGGGGTCAACCGAATGGCCGATATCAAGGACGTGCTTTATGATATGGAAGACCGTGCAATTTTATTCTCCTGCTTTAGAAGCCACTTATACAGGTGCTCAACTGATCTGACTGCCAGTTGCCTTTGGGTTCGCCCAATGTACCTGCATCCACAAGGGTATGTGAATTCGTAAACACAATTTGACATGGCGTGCAATGGCAAGGCATCCTTTGCCTGTGGAAGTTGGCTAGCTTTAGTGGGGCTGCAGAATATGAGTTCACCTGAGATGTATGTTCTTTCAACGGCGCATCTAAATCGCCGCTTGATGGTATTTGAGATGTTGTCACCCTTAAAGTGTAAAGACTATATGGATTTCCAAAAACGCATAAAAATGGCATTCCTCTACGACCAATTCTGTCTATGTCTAATTCACCCCAACGCAAACTAACACAGTGACTTGTCAATGAAGTAGAACCAATACGACACCTATTTTCGACTTAAACAATAAAAGACAGTTTCCATTTTATTGAAGAAATAAGGCACCAGAACATTTCCAACAGAAGCATGATAGCCTTCGAAGTCGTATCACTATTCACAAATGTACCACTTGACGAGACAATCGATGTCATATGCGCCCATGAGTCCGAAACCCGTCGTTCACCCGAAATATTACGTAACCTGGTAAAACCTTGCATGAAAAACGTTAAAGTTCTGTTCAGTGGACAGCTATACTGACAAAGTGATGGAGTGGTAATGGGAAGTCCACTTGGTCCAACCCTTGCCGACATTTTTATGGGTCACTTAGAAGAAAATTTGCCAGCTAAATTGAATATGAAAACACTGTACAAAAGATATGTGGACGACACTTTTGCTATTGTTGATAACAACGAGGAAGCCGAAGATCTACTTGTTGCCATGACTAGTCCCCATCCTAAGATTAAATTCACAATAGACAAGGAGCAGTGTAACAAGCTATCCTTCCTGGATGTCCTCATGACTTGACAGGAAGATCGTTCAATAAGGCGGTCGGATTTCCACAAGGATACATGGAAAGGCCAATAGCTACACTTCTTGAGCTTTGTGCCGATACAACGAAAGCGAAATTTGGTTTAGACTCTATTCAAAAGACCAAGAAACCATTGTTTTATTGAAACGCTGGATGCTGAAATTTCTTGCCTCAAAACAGCCCTGCTTAAACGGCCAAAATTGACGAAATAATCAATTCTGACAGAGGCCGCTGCAATATCTTTACCCTTTAAGGGTGACAACACCTCAAATACCATTAAGCGGCAATGGAGATGCGCCATTGAAAGAACATACAACTCAGCTGAACTCATATTCTGCAGCCCCACTAAAGCTATCCAAGTTCCACAGGCGAAGGATGCCTTGCCATTGCACGCCACGTCAAATTGTCCTTACGAATTCACATTCCCTTGTGGATGCAAGTACATTGGGCGAACGCAAAGGCAATTGGCAGTCAGGTCAGTTGAGCACCTGCCTAAATGGCTTCTAGAGCAGGTGAATAAAATTCCATGCTCTTCTATTACAAAGCACTTTCTTGATAGCGGTCATTCGGTTGACACCAAAACATCTTTTCGAGTATTAGTTCGAGCATGACCCCATATTCACGACTGGGAATGACAGGGAGGAGAATAGAGAGCAAGAGAGAAAGCGAGAGGGATAGACAAACGGCAGACGGGAAGAGCGAGAGGTAGCGACTTAGAGAGTCCATGAAAACGGGTCGTGTGGCAGAAAGTTAATTCGGTGTCACAGACTGAGGAATTCACCGGTGTCTGGTGCGCCGTCAGAGGCAGCGAGTCCTGAAACTAATGAGTGAGTTGCATGTCGTATGCCTTCTTTTTCACGTCCTTTAGGAGAGAATTTTAGGTAGTATCTGTGATGTTCATATGCCAACTCAGACGACATGTGCATACTAATGGCCGTCGGTTGACAGTTTATGCCAATTACGTGGTTATATTGTTGAATCCGATGGAATTGGGCTCAGATTATCCGGTAGCGATCGTTTGAGGGACCCCAAACACACACACAGGACCAGCCAATGGTTCCCGTCTCCCGGGGAGGGTGGTTTTACGGCGGGGCCTACCTATGCATAGGGGAATGGCAAAATAAGTATAGATCATTAGTAAATTCGTTTTTCGGTCGGAAAAATTTTAATGTATAATTATATAGCAGCCGAAATGAAGGAGGAACATTTTAAAAAAATAAACTTTATGTGTCTATAACGATCACCTTTCAACTCGCTAACCAATGGCAGCCTGCAAAACAGGGATGGCGATTCAAATGTCTTTCACTTGTGCCCATGTGTCAAACTACCCGACTTTTAACATTCATAGCCCTTTTCCTTGGCTGTCTTGGTTGTTTTACTGTAATGGACACACTGCAGCAGGTCAACCTCCGCACCGCTTGCTTGCTTGCTTCATGCTCAGAACGTTGGGCATCTTGAATATTAACTTTATTTACCTATTGGGTTTTCTTATTGTCGTTTTTGACAACGATCGAGTGAAGGTCCACCAAACACATTTGACCAGCTAAAGGTGTCTGTCTTACGGGAAAGGTGGTAATGGGGATTTTACGAGCGGGGCCTGTGCATGCATAAATTAATGACAAAATAAGTATAAATAATTGGGAAATTTGTTTTTTCGGGCGGAAATGTTCTAATGCATTGATATATAACAACGGAAATTAAGTAGGACAACTAAAAAATTGACAATAAATGTCTGCAGCAATCGCCTCTCAAATCTCTGAGCTAAGATCATTGTAGATAACCCACCAGACTGTCTACAACGATCGTTTCTGAACTTTCCGAGCTGAGGTCATTGTAGATGGTGCACCAGACCGTCTTCAACAGACGACGCAACCTTGTACGATAAAACACCAAATCAAAAAATCGTGTCGGACCCAAACGCGTTTGAATAAGTATAGTAGGTATTCTTTTTATACCACAGATGCTTGGAGGCCTTCACCCGATCCTTACCAGATATCCAAATTAACTTCCGGAATGTGCCTGTAACGTTTTCACACATAGAATTTGCTCCGAGTTGACGCATTAATTTTCGAGAAGATTAAAATGCTGGAGCTTCAAAATTCGAGTATTTATCAGAAGGCTTAGGGGGAACGCTGGGGGTACTCACTGATTTGCCACACAAGTCGCAGCTGTGTCACGCAGTGGCAGCGTCTGGGCTTTTATCTAGTACTTGTGCTGTCAACATGGTAAATCATGCAACACATTTGATGCCTGCATAAAGGCGCAAAGAACAGGGAATCTAGTCTCATTGATTCCTTTACTGACTGGAGGCGCAAACTGGGGAAATCGCCCAGTCAGTGTCCTTGAACTGCGGTAATGCTCACTCGGGACATCTGAATATCGTCTCCAGCGCATCCGGCAAATTGATCTGCCCCCTCTTTCCAACAGCCAGAGAACCATATAATCAAAAGCTCTCCCGTCAACTGTTCTTGTGTTGAGCTTAGCTTGTAGCATGTATCCAAATGAAGTGTTTGAGACAACATAAACAGCAAAAGCAAACTATAGCACGGTTGTCCACCCGTTAATATGCTGGATGCGGGACCGTTTAGCGGTTTGGGGTCGGTAGATGTGGTGGTAGAGGGGAGCTCAGCGAACTTTCTTACGGCAATCACTCATCCCGTTGTGCCTTACGGGCTCTCTTGTGCCCAACCAGCAGCAACACAGCGGCACATTATATAGGCAGAATAATATTACCGAAAAGGACGAGGGAGACTGGAATGGACATTTATGGCTTATTAACCGTCGTCAGCCAGTCATACCCAACCCCGAAGTGTGAAACACCCCCGACCTGTTAGTTAGAAGTCCGGCGTCTCTAACCACTGAGCCACAGGCTCGTTGTCCGTAAGAGGTTTAGAGAGTGAACTATGGGAGTAACCGGAAAAAAATGATTGTACACTCCATCAATCTTGGTCTGTCTGCGCAGGCACGGCCACTAACGAACCTTCCGGGCAAATAAACCAACATAGCCAATGAGTACTTCTGCACTGTCCCGTCCGGCTACCAGGACCTTGTCTGTGGCTTCAAGAAACCTATGCATCACGGCGATCACACCCGTATAACCATCCTTTATCGGGGAACCAGAGCAGGTAGGGCGTTCGGTGTGTGTGCGTGTGTGTGTGTCCTGAAGTCCTCCCTGAAGCGCCTGCAAATCAACCCGACCAACTGGGAAGAGCTCGCTAGCGATCGCCCGACATGGAGGAGAACAGTGAAGACGGGCGCTGCTATCTATGAAGCCAACCGAATCGCCGCCGCCAAAGCGAAACGCGAAGCCCGCAAATCACAATTTCGCCCAGTCCGCAACGCCGCCGCACAACCTCCCCCTACGTGTCCTCGATGTCAACGGACATTCCGGGCACGAATCGGACTTGTTGGACATCTCCGAACCAACTATGCCTCTCGAACTGCTCCAGCCATCGTCCCCCCGCCCGCCTCTTCCTCGTCCTCTCTGCCGCCAACTAACTCTGACACTCCTCCTGCACCACCACTTCCATCCTCCTCGTCCTCGTCGCCCTCCTCCCTCTCCACTGCCCCAGCGGCGGCCGTTCAGACTGCTGTCTCACACATCACCAACCCCAACACAACAACCGACATCACCTCTCCCACCTCTCCTCATACCACTGATGAGGATCAGAACTACACCTGCCCTCACTGTGACCGCACCTTCACCTCACACATCGGCCTGGTCGGTCACTTGCGAATCCATCGCACAGAGACTGGCGAACCAGTGCCTGGAGCACCAACCTACACCCACCGCACTCGCCTTCACTGCCCACAATGCCCTCGCACCTTCGCTCATCGCATGGGTCTATTCGGCCACACGCGCATCCACGGGAGCGGAATTGACCGCAGCCTTGACACACCCACCCCGCCGAGCCCACTCCCAACCCACCACCTTGTGCACCCACTAACCACTCCCCAGCCGACACCGACGCCACCGACCTTACAACCCCTCACTCCTCCCCCTCCTCCTCCTTTCCTCCATCACTGCCACAACGACGGCCGCTTCGGCGTCTGTCGCCCACGACTTCACCACAGCCGAACCTGGCACAACAACAGGCACAAGCCCTGCAACCTCCATCATCAGACGTGAGGGACAGGGCTACATCTGCCCTCACTGCGATCGCACCTCCACTTCACGCATCGGCCTGGTCGGCCACTTGCGAATCCATCGCACAGAGTCTGGCGAACCAGTGCCTGGAGCACCAACCTACACCCACCGCACTCGCCTCCACTGCCCACACTGCCCTCGCACCTTCACGCATCGCATGGGTCTATTCGGCCACATGCGCATCCACGACGACCTGCGGTAGACAACCGCCGGTCACACCACGCATTCCCTCACTCCCTACCTCCTAACACCATCACCTCACCAGACATCAACCCTCACACACCTCATGCGCTCAACTGCCGCCTCCCACGCAAGTGGGAAGTGTGCATCTCGACTCGGTCCCCATGCGGCTTCTGCTGCACGGGTGACTTGTGTCCGAGACTATCCCGACACATCAAGCGTCGTGGATAGGAAGGTTGCTGATTGAGGCCCGCTCTCGGTTCACGCAGTTCGTCACGTTGTGTGTGTGTTGTGTGTAGTGGCGGACTGGTGGGCTGGGGACGGGCTGCAACAGCACCTTCCACGGCACTCTCACGCAAGTGGGAGACACGCCGTTCTACCCCCGTTGTGTGAAATCCTGGTGTTTGTGTGTGTATGGGGGGCCAGGTCGTGCTGTGGCGCGCGCAGGCATGGTCAGCGACCATGTCAGCCACCGCGCCCATTCCCCTTTCCAGTCTGCTGACCGGCTCGGACAGCGGCTGGGGTGTGGGAATGGGAAGTGAGAGTGAGGCCGACGACTCAGCGCACTTCCTCCTCACTATAAACAATCTGACGCGCTTGAAGCTATCACGGTGCGCTAAAAGCCGTGGCTTGGAAGGTTGCCAACTGACGGGATACCTTGGACCTCCTCCTTAACGGGAGGCGGTCAGAAAGTCAGGCTGCAATGGCTCCTTTTTAATGTGGCCTTTATGGCACTCCCACCACAGTGTGGAATCCGAGCCAGGCGTTGGCGGCACGCCCAGGTGCGGCTTCGGCCGTTCCAGCCTCCAAATCTCTGTTGTGTTGGTTGAAATCCTGGTTATTGTTGTGTGAACCAGGGGGTGTGATGGAACGCCAAGGTGAGGATCCGTCCGAGCCATCCACCTACGGCCTCCCTCGTCTCCGGTCTTCTTGACTCTGTCTTGACACCGGGCCCAGGCGGGGAGGAGGAGAGAGTGTAGGTAGATGCTACGCAAGTCTACTGGCACTATAAACCCCTGCGTAAGTCACCGTCCCTGCTCCCACGGTGCAGTCTGTGGGGCACACGGTGGACATCGTCGAAATCGACGGTCGAACTGTCGTGTGTGTGTGTGTGTGTGTGTGTTTGTGTCTTCACATCCGGTGGTAACTGAACTAAACCCTCTAAACTCCCTTTCTCCAATTCGCACGAAGAGTAAAACTGCGCTTGACAAGGCAGTTACTGAATACTAAAGAGCCATGTAGTCGCAAGAGCCTTATAATTTGTCAGAATGCCTAAAAAGCACGCTCCCTCTCTACCTCCACCACTTTCCTCACCTTCTCACCCATCTGATCGCTCAATTCCTCTATTTCCTTCCGTTATCACCATTTATCAAGCCGTCTCCTACTTCCATGTTCCCTCTCTTACCATTCCTTTTTGCTCTTTTATTGACCTCCCTCTCCGACACCACTGTCACACAGCGCGCATAATATCGCGCGGCATGTTTAAAGGCGACGATGTGTGTCTATGCTCATTTATTCATTACCAGCATAACTGTCGATAACACGGTCCGAATCACCTGAAATATCCTGTCATACGCACATGGCATGAGGGGTGAAAGCACACCCCCCGAAGTATGGGTCCGCACCCGCAAATGCGTGCAGCTAGCAGGGGTGTGTATACGGTTCGTTTTCAAAAATAGCGCCGGGTCCTACGGAATTTTCCTCGCGTCGTAGATGCGCAGGGCCAAGACAGGCTGACTCACAGCGCGCATTACTCGGGTGCGCAGATTTCGCGCGTGTTCACACCCACTCTCCTACATGGAGAGGGCTGTGGCATGCCTAGTTGTAGACCGTCAACGCTGTGTCAGTCGTTGCATCTCATTCCAGCACCAGATGGTTGACTGCCTTGAACAGTTGACTGGCGCATGGGAGAGGAGAGAGTAAGATCGATTCCAGGAAATCCATCCCGGCGCGCTTGAATCTCGCGCGACGCGCTAAAATCCGTGACTTCGGGGGCTGCCAGCTGACAGGATGCCCCAGTCCCCATGTGTGTATTTTGGAGTGGCTAGAGTACTGGGGGTTTGACCCCAATGGGTCGTTCATAGTGCGGCCTTTATGGCATTCGCACTTGTAAAGTCCGAGCTGTCCTCGAGGAAAAACGGTACATTTTGCGGGGAGCGGATCGTGTGTGGTCCGCGAAGGCGATCTGTTTAGTTTTGTCATCAACCGCGACCGAGCCCGCCTTTGGTCCGCCCGAAATTGCCTTTTCGCCGGAGCCAGGTAGATGAGGGAGGAGAAGAACAGCATACAGGAAGTGGGCTAACTCATGAAATGTCAACAGAAATTCCGAAATGCGTTTTCGCTTCTAAAAGATTAATTAGGAAGGGTTGTAAAACAACTCATCTTGTGGCATCATTCTATAATAATTCAGTTGCCCCAGAACGCCGGCTTTCGAACAAACTTCTTTTCGGCTGTATCCAAATCCCATACTCCATAAAAATGGCTACTTAAGTAGCACGAATTTTTTCATTGATCTTCGATGCCCTTAAAGATTCAAATATATCTCATGGAAAAATATTCATTTTTCCGCTCACTCCGTAGATAATTACGTCTTCTTTCAACTTTAAACTCATAGGAAGGGTATAATTTGTTTTTATAGAACCTTTCCAATTCCCGAATAATTTTGAACCCGACCTGCCGTTTCATTTGCATTCAGGGTTCACAAACTACAAGCCGTATAATTTCCGCCTATGGAAAGTCATGAATTTCTCTACGGTATTAAGAGGGGATTATATGGGGTTCTTGAAAGTAAACAGTGTATTTGAGCCATATTGTTAACTTTACAAGCCACATTGGCAAAGGCAGAGGCATGACATTATAAGGTGGGACATTTCACGGTATTAACCAGTCTCACAATCAGAAACTTTTTAAAACCAAATTATACTCTTCCTTCGAGCATTAAATTGGAAGACGACGTAAGTTTTTACAGAAGGAACAAAATAAGGAATGTTTTATGCATGTTTTCCATGAAATAAAATTGAATCTTTAGGGGCATCGAAAATCAATGAAAAATGCGTGCTACTTAAGTAGCCATTTTTTGCGGAGTATGGTTTTTGGATACAGCCGAAAAGAAGTTTGTTCGAAAGCCGGCGTTCTGGGGTAACTGAATTATTATAGAATTATTCCGCAAGATTATTGGCTTGACAGCCCTACTTAATTAATCTTTGAGAGACGAAAACGCATTTCGAAATTTCGGTTGAGATTTCTTGAGTTAGCCCACTTACTGTATGCAGGACAATTCTTCCTCCATATTAACCAGTTTACGTGTAGGTCGTTAACGCTGAACCCACTCGGTTAGACAAGCCGTGGGCAGTGTTATTTTTGGCAGTCAAACTGTCGGCCTGAATACTGAGCACTTATGCCGAGCGCGACCTATGAAAAAAACCACAATCAGAGGCGCCTGACGCAATTTCAAGAAACAGTTCTGGTAGCTCAGGAGTGATCATGTTGGCAGTGCCTCCCTAACTGGGAGTACATGAACATCCTAGACGTCTCCAAATTCCATTATTAGAGACAGTACTCAATTGGTTGGAAAACGACAAGACATCACATGAAGCTGCATGTCGTCTTCTATGCATGGGCTGGAAAATGGGACTCTAACCTCCCTCCACAAGCGTCACAGCAAGACAAATTACTTACTGACCTAAGCACATTTTCTGTCATGTTCGTAAACCCTCAAATAAAAATGACCTGTCTGGTTGTGGCCGCTGTATGGAGCGGAATTTTGCGGACTCGCAAATGACTACTCGATGTCCATTTATGTCTGCGAGGCGAGATTTACACATACACATTCCGACTCACGGAGTGATCTGTCACCCCGACCCAGATGTAATCTATGCGCGGACATCCCATGCACTCCAGTGTAAGTACGTTAACATATCGACAGGTTTACAAGCGTCAACTTAGTGTATGCAAGTGGTATATGCAGTCAGATATGGAACATCCGAAGGTAATTAAACTTGCGTCACCAACTCAGGTAGCTAGAGCGTTGGCTGTACTAAATCCTTGCGCTTGGTGTCGTGGGTTCGAATTTCACCGGGGCGCCGAGTTTTTCCCAGTTGGGCCAAAAGGAACATCTATATAAACATAAGCACATTATATTGTACAAAAGGTTACCTTGAGTTTACTCAGAGTCCTATTTCACATGCTTCTTTCTGCGCTTTGCAATCACTTGGTCAAAAACCGGTGGAGTCACACTTATTCTTCTTCTGCTCTATCTCCATTTCACTACTTCTTTCTCTAACTTCTAGTTCTAGATTCCTCTTAGAGTTATAGAAATCGGGACGAAAACACGAACAATCTTGGCACAGGTATGGTGACAGAATCAAGCGGAATGTGCCTATTTGACTTTGATGCTCAAGACAACAGCACATGGAAGGGTCAAATGCGCACAATAATTTGCCGAAAACCGAAACTCAGTTTGAAAAGGTCGTGAGCAGAGGCAGATGTGGTGGTGGTGGTGGTGGTGGTGGTGGTGGTGGTGGTGGTGGTGGCGGCGGCGGCGGCGACGGCGGCGGCGGCGGCGGCGGCGGCGGCTATGCTTCCTAGACCGGTCGCGTTGATTGAGACTAGAACATGTGGTCTGGGATGCAGTCATAAAGGGATAGGGGATCGGTAGAACACGAGCTCCATTCGCGGGAAAGTTTTTTCTCCATCGCTTGTGTTCCCTTCGTGACTGCTTCGTAGAACCCGCCTCCTCACTTTTATAGCGAGATTTATGGACGCGACGCCTTCCAGTGGGTCACACGATGGGTAACCTTTGCCCTTTGAGTGCCTTCTACGTATGCTTAACGTCGGTTTCTATACAAGTGTCTCGATAATAACGAGTTACCGAAATGTGTTTTATGTATCTATTTATGTATGTATATATAGGCACGGGGTGTAGGGGGTGTCAGCGGTGGGTTCACGTGATGGTCGTAGTGGTCGCTCACTTGCTTGCAGGTGAGACTACGCCTAGCGTCCATTCGCTGGCACCCAACTCTCACCTGTGGCTCCACGTAGCTGGGCTCTGCTCAGCGGCCACACCCCGGGCAACCGTCTCGACCGGCGGGCTAAACCAGGTGAGGGCGCTGTGCGCTTGTGCCGCTTGCACAGTGTACTGCGGACTCCGCTGGATGGATGGTCGGATGAAACACTGCGCCGGCATCGTCGAGACAAGGCTCTGCCTGGTACGCCGTTGGATAACTGCTGCCGGGACGGGTCTCCGCATCGCCTTCGCTGAGACGCGCCCACCCTCACCGACGGAGACCGCGGACTCACGGCATATGCGGTCGTTCTCCACTACGAACATAAAAGTCGTGGCCCCATAGTGGGATCGGTCGCGCCAACCAGGCACATGGGCAGCCCGATTCAGGGGCGGCACTGCCTGCCCCCATGAGGGGAAGGGCCTAGAAAAGGTGGCCTGGTTAGCACAATGTCTTTGCTTTTCCGAAGTTCCCTGAGGCTATCAATATGAGCCCTTGTCATGGGACTCTTGTTTTTCGGAGCCTTCCTTAGATGCTGTTGGCAGCAGTTAACTAGAGCCGACGTAATGCAATCAACTTCTTTAGGATCGGTAGGTTTTAGCTCTGTAGTCTGACTAAAGAGACTCTCAAATTGTATTTCTAGCTCTAATTGTTTCGGCAACCGCCGTGCAATACAAAACGAAGGGCCAACAGCTAGTACCTCTTCGAGAGCTTTCTCAAGACGAACTGAAGAATAGTTATGCGTGTACCGTTCCGGATTGTTCGGAAGGACGGTCTGAGGTTCTACTGACTGGACGCTTCGTAGGGGCTTAGTCCACCTGGCCTCCATTCTTTTAATTCTGACTGCCTCTGCGTAGTATTTAAATGCCAGTCTCTCGTGGTTTTCAGGACGGTCAAGGGCCACTGTTCTCTGACACAAGTTCCGGTGGAGTTCTTTAATTCCCTCATCAACTGCACTAAAACGACATGCAGAAAGCCACCTTGAGACGGTCAATGCCGGAATTAAAGAAGTCCACCGGAACTTGTGTCCGAGAACAGTGGCCCTCGACCGCCCTGAAAACCACGAGAGACTGGCATTTAAATACTACGGCGATATGATTTCTCCGTAAGGTTTTCCAGTAGTATTTGGGATATTCGCCCCGTTCAATACATCCTGATAAGCATTTGCTCGTCACATGTGCCTCCGCAAGTATGGCGTCAAACTTGAGGAATCCATTGAGTTCCTTTAACGACGGGGGATCTTTGGATTGTCTAAGTGTTTATCAACTTGACTTTTCCATTAAGCCATTACGGCATCACGTGCAGCCACAAAGTGCGGGTGCCGCACCATTTTGACAGGCACACAGTGACATAGTGACTGCATCTTACATACACTACATGTGTTAACTCATGCAATCTTAGCGGGAATTCGAAATTCGTTTTCGACTCGAAAAGTTTGCTTAAGCAGGGTTGTAATATTAATCACCGTGTAGCATAATCCCAAGATAATTCAGTTACTTCAGGGTGCCGGCTTATGAACGAACTACTTACCGGCCGTCTACAAAAACTGCATTCTATAAACAGACTACTTGGGAAGTATGGAGTTCTCTCATTGATTTTTGATCCCCTTATAAGTTTAAACGCATTTCGTAGAAAGTAGGCATAAAAATATTTATTCTTTTGCTCATTTGAAAGAAAACTACGACTTCTTCAAATTGAGTACTTGAAGGGGGGGTTTTAAGAAACCTTTCCAATTTCCGAATAATTTCAAGGCCGACCTGCCGTCACACTATGCTTCAAACAGGATTCATTGGTTTGCATACAGACGTCTGATGGAGAAACTTAACTGAAAAAGTATAAAATGATGTTACTTAAATATAGGGAGTAGCATACCTTGTGAGGTATGGAGTTCTGGGTTGTACAAGGGGAGAAATTTGTTCGTTTCTAAAGACGTGGCGGTACATGTTCTGTACTGGTCAAGCTTCCTCTGAAATGTGTCCACGGATGAGGACATGACGGCGTCAAGAGGTAGAGCATTCCATGTCTTAATCACCCTGTGGATGAAGAAGAATTTCCTTGCGTCCACTCTTGCCCCACTCACACGTAGTTTGAGAGGATGTCCTCTCAAGCTAGTAGTGGTGGCCGACACAAAAAAGTCGCTGGATGCGAGACAACAATTCCAACCCCGCAGCATACGAAACGTTTGAATTAAGTCGTCAAGCAATTGCCTGTAATCCAGGGGATAGTGGTCAGGATTGAACAATCGACTTTCGTAAGGTAGGTTTTTTGACCTCGTCGTTGGACTTTTTCGAGGGTGGTACGATCTTTGATAGACCAGGGTCTCCAGGCCTGAATGGCCAATTCCAAGTGGTGCCGCACAAACACTCCGAAGACCTTGCCAAAGCGCTTTTCTTCGAACTTGGCAAATTCTCGCTGGACATTGCGTATTTCGCTACTTTCAAGCAATGGTATGATGGCTTTAGTGAGATATTAGCCACACACCCAGATCATTCTGGACCTCTACCTCTGGTAGCGGTGTGTGATTTAGATAAAACTTTCCCTCGTGCGCAGAGCTGACTTCGCCAATTCGCAGAATGTTACATTTGGCAGGAGCCAGTGACTTGCCCATTGCTTGAGTCGGTTCAAATTTGCCTGGAGATTTGTTTCATTGTCCTTCTTGCGGATGAATTTCCCAAGCCTTATGTCGTCAGCAGACACGGCAATGTCGCAATCCAACCCACGGATGCAGTTATCAACATGTATGTGGAAAAGGATAGGACTAAGAACGGAGTCCCGAGGTACGCCGCTCGAAACCGTTACCTCCGCCAACTGAATATTTTTGTAGCCGAGCTATATCCTACCTTCAAGTACAACATTTGACGAAGACCTCATTCCCTGTCAAATGAGAAAAAATGGGTATTTTATGCATGTTTTCTATGAGATATCATAGAATTTATGTGTTAATCGAAAATCAAGGAAAAACATTTATACTACTTAAACAGCAAATTTTATACAGAGCGTAGTTTTTGCAAGCAGCCGGAAAGACGCTTGTGCAATGATTTACCGTACTAACAACACAGGTATAAGCTAAAAGCCCAGACACGCGTGTTTTGCCGATCTTATGCCGCTGCCTGACGCAGTTGCGAGGGGTTCGGCTCGTCAGTAGGTCCCCCAGCTTTCATCGTGTGTTCTCTGGTACATGAACTCCAGTTTCAACTTGCCTTATTTGATTTCCGAGGAAATTAAACAAGGCGGGAAAGAAGTTTGTTCTGAGAGTCCCTGCGCTAATCTGATTCCTTATCCGATGGTGGGTTCCAACGCAGACCCGACACGTCAGTCTATGAAGGCTCTTGCTACAGCGATCCTATACCCTTCGTCGTGATCGATTGCGCCGTCGACTTGACCGTAGTTCTCATCACTGCCCTAGCTAGTGAGCACAGGATAAGACAGAGTGCAAACACCGCGACAACAATTTGTCCATCCAAAGGACGACGTTGGTCTACATTGGAGGATGGTTATCATCCATTTGCTGGTCGTGACAACAAAATCAACAAATGACACGTGTCGTGCTACCTGGACACATACTACTGGTGGTCTGTTGGAAGTTTACGAAAATTAGGCGGTTATTCCGTAGTCTGTGTCAACAATTCTCAAACAGACTGATTTACCCCAAAGTAGTGATTATTTTCTAAAGAAACTAAAAGACTGCCATGTCTTCAAACGGTTTTACGACAGTCGCGAAGGCAGAAATTTTATTTGAAACGGACCACGAGAAACGAGCACCAGCTACTGCTAGTTGACCATGATGTCTAGACTACAAGCGACTCTGGCTTGGTCGTATTTTGGATAGCGGGTCCGACTGATGTGCACAGGGGAAGACAGTGCACAAACGCCGCGAAAACAAGCTGCTCGTCCAATCAGCGACAATGATGAACTAACTCGGACACACATAGCGAACCCAACGGGCATGAGACTGTTCGCGCAGATGAGTCTCATCCACAGAAAAATTTGTCACTGGAAGCGGATAGTAGAGACATAGAGGCGTAGGTAAACCCCTCGTAGATTAAATTTCAACTCGCAGCCAACGTAACCCTAGCGCTCAAATCGATAAACGCGGCATACCAGCAGGTTTTTGCTGTCCTCACCCGACTCGCTAGTGTCTGATGCTGAACAATGAAGTTGCTACTGTGTGATGAGTTAGACGCCTCCTATCTAACACTCTTGCTGTCTGCGTCAAACACACGCCAGAATACCCGCGTTTGCAGTCCGTTAAATGTACACATTTAAATAAATTGAGAATGAAAACGTATCAAGCACTGAAACGTTTTAAGTAGCATGATATATTAGGTAACCGACGAACAGAGGGGCTTGGAGCTGTCAACCAAACTAAATGCTGGTTGGGTTTTTACAAGGCTGCTTCTGACGCAAGTGCGATATCAGAATGCCTGGAAATCACGCTTCAATGGTGTTAGTTTGAACTTGTTAAACATTCTATGAGGCGGGTGTTTGCACGGCCTTCTGATCGTTTCAAGGTTGAATGAAGAAATTACGCACATGTTTTATAAGACTGACGTTGTCACCGATATCTTTTGAAATGGCGAGTTACCACCCGATGTCAGAGCATTCCTTATCACCTTGAAAAGGAATTCTCAAATTAAGTTTCTCTATCCGTAACCTTTGAGCAACTTATGAAAGGCTGGGAACTGTTTCCGACGCTCTTGTCTTCAGCGTCCAGCGTCAAATAAACACATCTTAGTTGATGCTACGAACGGCTGTCATCTGAAAATGCTTCTAAAAATTCACTTCTGGTTTTTCATGGTTCTACTATAAGTGCCTAGTCTTCAGTGTCTCCCGTTGAAACATGGCATTGCCGTCGCACGCGTACTTCCGTATGCCCCGAGTAGATATTTACAGTAGGTGGGCTAAATCATGAAATCTCAACAGGAATTCCGAAATGCGTTTCCGTTTCGAAAAGATTAACTAAGTACAATTGTAAAAAGAAACATCATGCAACATAAGTCTAAAATAATTCAGTTACGTCGGAATGTCGGCTTTCGAGCAAACTTCTTTTTGGCAACATCCAAAAATCATACTTCGTGAAAAATGACTACTTAATTAGCACGCATTTTTTCAATGATTTTCAATGTCCTTAAAGATTCGATAATATTTCATGGAAAACATGTATAACAGTACTCATTATTTTGCCCATTCAGCAGAAAGGTACGTCCTCTTTCAACTTTACACTCAAAGAAACGGTATGATTTGGTTTTAAAATAGTTTCTAATTGTGAGATTTTTTAATACCGTGAAATGGCCCTTCATAAAACGTCATGTTTCCGTATTTACCAATGTAGCTTTTAAATTTAACAATGTGGCTCAAATCCATTGATTAATTTTATGAACGCTATATGGTCCGCCTTTATCACCGTAGAGGAATATATGGTTTTCCGTAAGCTCAAAATATACGGATTGTGTTTTTTGAACCCTGAACGCAAGTGCAACGGCAGGCTGGGTTCAAAATTAGTCGGGAATTGGAAAGTTTTATAAGACAAAATTACACCCTTCTTTCGAGTATAAAATTGAAAGAAGACGTACTGTTCTACCGAATAAGCAAAAGAGTGAATATTTTATGCATGTTTTCTGTGAAATATAATTGAATCTTTAAGGGCATCGAAAACTGAGGAAAAATGCATGCTACTTAAGTAATCATTTTTCACTGAGTATGGTTTTTAGATTCAGCCGTAATGAAGTTTGTTCAAATGCAGGCGTCCTTTGGCAACTGAATTATTATAGCATTATGCTGCATGATGATTGCTTTACAACCGTACTTAAGTAATCGTTTCGAATCGAAAACGCATTTCGGAATTTCTGTTGAGATTTCACGAGTTAGCCAACTTACTGTATGCAATGTAGACAGCGGGAGGATGTGGAGTCGCACCAAAACCTTTTGGTCAGTTCCGGTCAGTTTTCGGTCAGTTTTTTGGTAAGGATAATAGGCAAAGCCTTTGAAAACCCTAATGATTACATGTCAGCTCGTTAGAATAACTGTACACGAACAAAAAATATTCACTATTAAAACAGTACTTGGTTCATTTGAGTAGCATTGTCTCAGAGAAAATACTTGTGGGGACCAGGGGTATTAGTTCAGATTCAGACCGTCGAGGGAAAACAGGGGACACAAATATCATCCAAGCGTTTCTTGAAGAGTTGCAGGGATGTAGCCTCCACGACTGACTGAGGGAGATCGTTTCATTTCTCCACTACCCTCTGCTTGAAAAATTCAGAACGAAGATTCAGCCTGGACATTGTTGTCCGTAACTTCATCGAGTGACCACGAAGATTGGGTGAAAGGTGCCACTGAAACATGTCCTCAAATTTAAGTCCATACTCAAGGCCATGTATTATCTTGTAGACGAGGATAAGATCACCTCTTTGTTGCCTGTAAGACAGAGGGAATAAATTAAGGCAATTCAGTCTGTCTGTGTAGGTATGGCTTTTTAGACCGTTTACCAGCTTTGCTGCACGCCGTTGTACCCGTTCGAGGCATTCTTGGTCCTTTACCAGCCATGGCCGCCATGCTTGTATGCCGTATTCTAAGTGGGGCCGAACAAATGTGCCGTAAACTCTCCCAAAAAGGTCTTGGTCAGAATTTACGAAAGCCTTTTTTATTGCATGCAGCACTCCATAGCGTTTTTTGCAGCCTTGTGGCACTGCAGTGGATTAAGCAGCATTAAGATGGTAGGTAGGTAGGTGGGACGGCTCGGGACTGGCTGGCGAGATAATTTTTTGCTTGAAATTTTTCACCACTTCTTCTGGCACAAACATTTTACCTTCTATCCAGATGCCTGGAAATCACGCTTTAAGCAGTGTTAGCGCGACCTTGTCAAAAAGTGCATGAGTCGAGTGTTTTGGCGAAACCGAACAGCGGGCTTGGTCCATCGCGCATGTATGCTAGATTATTCTGGGTTTTTACTGTTAGGTTTTGCGAACTGATTGTGGGGATTGGATGTAGGAA